CTATTTGAGAAAAATAAAATTCCTAAAAACTCACAAAACATAATTTTGACTCGCTGTTTGCGATGTTAGCGACAAGGGTGATATCACGTCTAATGACAAACTACTGGTTGTTATTTTATTTTTACTCAGAATTTACTACCTCCGAGTTATTGAACGCAATGGCAATGAACACAAAAATTTGACGGAAACTGTTCAAGATATCGAAGATAATTTTTTAGTTAATGTTGACCTGTTAGCTCTTGTTTTAGCCAAACTAGCTTAACGTTAGCTGCTAACGTTGATTTTTCACATCTGTCCGGGTTAAAAACACTGTTCCTTGAGAGTCTGGACGTTTGTTTGTAGCAGTTAGTAAACAAAACATTCAAACTAGGTCCATGGTTTGTTTACTGTTGCCTTGACAACATGTATTTTTCTGTTTTAATCCATCCAAGTGTTTTTATTAGCAAACCTAACCAGACCGTAAAGGTGACATACTCATCTACATTTTGTGCAGTATCAATTACCCCTTTGTCGCAATCATGTTCTAATATTGTGTTTTTGGTCCCTTATCCAGCATTTCACATACTTAACATAATTATTATCAATACTGCTCATCTTATAAATAACTACTTTATATTTAGCTCTCTTGCCAATGTTTGAAACTGTTTTGTTTATAGCTAAGTGCAGCCACGTCAGGTGTTTTTACATTTACTGGTATTATACAGCAAGTGTGGTGTTTTACTGATGGTAAAAATTGAACTCCATAAAATAGGATTTCCCAAACCGTGGTGCGCAGAGTTTAGAATGTAACCTCCATGAAACAAGTAGTAAAACTAGTCACAGCTGTAAGAGTTGAATTGGAAATGGTAAATTATCAGCTGTGACATTGAGGTTAATAAATTCAGATCACCCCGTAGTTGTGCACTGCTTTGATCTGATGATCTGTTCATCCTTATTAACTAACTCTTCTCTTAATTTGGTGTCCCCATGGACATATTATTAACTAACTCTTCTCTTAATTTGGTGTCCCCATGGATCAATGTCATATACAAGGGTCTTGAGAGCATACAACAGTGGAAAGAAATGGGGCAAAGCATGTGCATTGTGCCTTGGAGCAGAAGTCAGGGCCAAAATGGCTAAATATAAAGTAGTGGGTCAGCATCACATCAAACACAAAGAGGGAGTGTAGGTAATCGCTTTGGCTCCTGTTATCTTGGAAGTTAAACATGTGATCCAAAAAGCTTTAACTTTAGCCACTGTATGTTATTTATTAAAACAGAATAGTAGGCTCTGTCATTTTCATCTTTTTACAGGGCAGCCATAACTTTTCTTTGACATTCACGTTAAAGATTTTGAAATACTGTTTACGTGGCAATTGCAGTTTTGTAATAAAAGCTTTGATGAACTGTTGTGTAGATGTTTTTAAGTCCCTCTTTATTTCTCCTACCATGTTTATTTGTAGTGCAGTGTTTCAAATCAATATTGGCTTTAAGGTTTGTTCAGAAGTGTATTTAAAGATCCTTAAAGTCAGCTGCAGTTATGCTATTGGTGAACAAATAAGCTCTCTACAATCACCAATAAAATATTCAGTCTAGTCAAATACATGTTAATTGTTGGTTTACAGGTGGTGTGGTGGTTAGCACTCTGGGTTCGAGTCCCGGGGGAACCACACCTTTCTGTGTGGAGTTTGCATGTTCTCCCTGTGTCTGCGTGGGTTCTCTGGCTTCCTCCCACAGTCCAAAAACCTGCATGTGAAAGTGACTGGACATTTCAAATTGCCCTTAGGAGAGAGTGTGCGTGGTTGTTTGTCCTTGTGTGTCTGTGTGTGGCCATGAGATGGACTTGCGGACCGTTCAGGGTGTACACCTCCTCTCTGGATTGGCTGAATAGGCTCAAGTTCCCCCCGTGACCCCATTAGGAAATAAGCGGTAATGATAATGGATAGATGTTGGATAACATACAGCTTAATAATTGAATAATTATTACAAACATCAGTTGCAACTTTATGATAACCAATTTATAGATGTTTTATAAACCACTTAACCATTTACAATGTGCTACTAAAAGGTCTATATATCAAATCCATAATTATATACAATTTGTAAATGGTTTTATATGCTGTTTATAAATGATGGTAAAACATTAACAAACTGTGTTTAGCATTTAGAAATAAGCTATGTTCTGTTTATAAATTAATTGAAACATTAATAAACCAAATGTTTACCATTTATAGATGGTCTATATACCATTTATAAATGGTATATTTGCTATTCATGTTGAAAGGCTGCAATACTTAGATGAGAGGTGAGAAAACTTTGTAAGCTTGTGTACTTACGCGCTCCCCAGGCCTGAGTAGACCCATTTTGTTTTTCCTATGCCTTGGTAGTCAGAGGCCACATAGTAGATGCAGGCATTGAGGTGGAGCATGAAGAGCAGATATCCAATGGTGCGAATGACTCTAACACAGGAGCAAAGATGGTGGTTAAGTTCCTAATCGTTAGCTTTTGTCAGAGAAAAAGAATATCCTCTTTACGTCCAAAAAAATAGAACCTCGGAGGGGGTTATAAAATGTCAAAATGTCTCTGTGTGGCTTTGAATTTAATATATTTATATATAAGACCCGTTATGATGAAGTGAGAGGTGCCCTGCAGCATTTGGCATACTTGTTGACCCCGCATCTTGGTGCCTGTACATTGGGGTTCACCCCGGTGAATGACATAGTTGCCTCCCTTCGCCTTCAGGTGGGGGGATGGGTGCTCACTGTTGTTGGTGCCTGTGCGCCTAACAGCAGTGCAAAGTACCCACCCTTAGAGGGGGTGGTGGAGGGTGCCCCTCTTGGGGACTACCTTGTTCTACTGGGGGACTTCGATGTCCAATATTACGTGGACATCAGGGGTAGTTCCGCTGGATTGGCAGACTGGGGTGTTGGTTCCCTTATTCAAAAAGGGGGACCGTAGAGTGTGTTCCGATTGCAGGGGAATCACACTCTTACGCCTGCCTGGGGAAGGTCTATTCAGCGGTTCTGGATAGGAGGATCCATCAGATCGTCAAACCTCGGATTCAGGAAAAGCAGGCCATGGAACGCTGGACCAGCTCTATACCCTCAGCGGGGTCATGGAGGGTGCATGGGAGTTCGCCCAACCAGTCCACATGGGTTTTGTGGAGAAGGCGTTCAACTGTGAATCCTGTGGGGGGTGCTCCGGGAATATGGGGTACCGGGCCTTTTGTTACAGAGTGCCTTCTCTGGTTCAGGGGAGATGGCCCCTGGTGGATGAGTTCAAGTACCTCGGGGTCTTGTTTGCGAGTGGGGATAGGGAGCGTGAAATCGACTGGTGCTGCGTCCGCAGTAATGCGGCCGCTGTACAGGTCTGTCATGATGAAGAGAGATTTATTGCTCTATCTACGTTCCCACCCTCATCTATAGTCATGAACGTTGGGTAGTGACCGAAAGAACAAGATCGCTGATACAAGCTGCCAAAATGAGTTTCCTCCGCAGGGTGACTGGGCTCTCCCTTAGAGATAGGGTGAGAAGCTCGGCCATCCGGGAGGGGCTCAGAGAGCTGGCCTGGGAATGCCCTGGGATCCCCCCAGAGGAGCTGGCAGAAGTGGGAGGGGAGAGGGAAGTCTGGGTTTCCCTGTTTCGGCTGCTGCCCCTGCGACCCAATCCCGGATTATCAGTAAAAAATGGATGGATGGATATTTTTAGCCTGATCTTTATTGCATAAGGGTTTTGTCCAAATCAAAGCTCCAAGTGATAAAGGCCTCTTAGTAAGGTGTCATTGTGTTTCAGGCAGTCCATGAGCAGTGATGGAGGACTGGACTTTGTAAGTACACTTTCAGATGTTTATAGGATAAAGACTGGCAGACTTTCAAATATTCATTCCAACGATGGTGACAAAATTCTTCACATGGAACTCACCTCCAGATGTAAGCCTTGGCCATGATGCTCTCCAGACGATCACTGAACTCAAAAAACGTGTCTACCTTAGAATAGAAATCAAATTGAAAAAATGTCAGTTACTTCATGCCATGTTGATCACAATTGATTTAATCTTAGTCTGATGTAGGATATGCACATTTGGAAGCTTACCTTCAGTATACGATTGGCTCTGAAAATAGAATGGAATCCAAACTGTGCGTATAATAGGTCAAATGGTAAAGCAGACACTATGTCAGCCTGTTGGAGAGAAACAGATGTGAGAAGGAATCAGTGTGAATTTCCACTTTAAGTTCAAGTTGCAATTTAAGTTTCGGAAGACTACCAGGCATCTCTCGGAATCTCTGTAGTGCTTCTTTGTCATTGTGCGGTTTTTCTGAAAAAAAAAGAAAAAAGTAATTAGTCATATTTATTCAGATAATTTCAGCAGGACCATTTCACACTCACTATGATGTCTCCTGCTTTGACGAACTGCTTGCGAGGCTGGAACAAGATGGCATCTGTGAGGTAGATGAGGTCAGCCAAGACGTCCATCATGAACCAGTAGGGGTTCGCCCACTCGTTGTGATATGGAAAACACAATCGCACTGTGACAAACCACGTGTTGTAGTTGAAAGCCAAAGTCACCAGACTCAGCCATGCGATATAGCGGCGATCTGTGAAAGGATCGATGGTTTCCCCCAGCACTGAGTCCATGGAATCCTCAATGGGCTTTAACACCAAGTCAACTGAGGACCAATAAGCTGCAATCATCCTAGTCTTCACGGGGATCTTCACTTTCTTTTCTTCTTCTTTCCTTTTCTCCTCCTCCTCCTTCTTTTTTTCTTCAGCTTCCTTCTTTTTCTTTTCCTGTTCTTCCTTCTTCTTTTTATCAGCTTCTTCTTTCTTTATCCGCTCCTCTTCGGCCTGCTTGGTCCTTTCTTCCATGACTTTTGTATAGTGGTCTTTGCGCAGCAACGGCGCTATAAGGAGAATACAGTGAATTTTTTGCTTTTGGAGCCATTACTGCTAAAGTGTGCATGAATTCAGATGGAGAATATGGTGTGGACACTTACTGACAGGAGGGCTAATCTCAGGGGATGAGGCGTACTGATCGATCGCCTTCTCCTTGTAGAGCACCTGCCTCTCCCTCAACCGTTTGGCTATGGCTCTAAGTTGATCATCAGAATATCTGTTGATGACTATAGGTGGAGGTGGAGGAGGGGCTTCTTCCTGTCTGAAAAAACAAAAAAGGAAAGCAGACTATAGGCTGTTTGTAGAGGTAAAAAACAAATTGATAATTTCTTAATTGAATTAAGTGGATACTCATGGATAGAAATCACAAGTGGGAACTTCACAAAAACTCTCTGTAATTCCTCTCGTTGAAGTCTTGTCAATTAATTCATTATTGTCTAAGAATGTCCAGTTACTTGTAAAACTAAAATCTGAGAATTGCTGGGAGAAAAATACTGACAACTATTAATGGATTACAGCCTTGCATTGGTTCTAATTTTCAAGAACATCTCTGTTCATTTCTTCCCATTTAGTGCTGTCAGTCATCACTTTTGTTACAATGTGATCTGGGGAAGTGTGCTCAAACATTTGTTTAGCAATACTCAAAATTGAAAATAATGTGCAAAACTAAAGGCATTCTACAGCATTATGACCGAGCCATCATTCATCAGAGAGGCTTCAAAGTTTTAACTCATCTGATTAATCAGAAAAAGGTTTAAACAAACTTCTCTCACATTCACAATCTCCCCTCTACCCAAACAAATTTCAAATAATATACAAAAAACAGTGTGACCCAATGTTACCATCACTGGGATGGAGCGCACAGAACACCCATTCAAACAGCCTTTGATTTCCATGAAAGGGTGGTGTTTTAAACTTTGTTTTAAACTGATGTAAATGGCTTTTAGGTAAGATAGTAAAAAGCAAAGCAAAACAAAAACTATTAAGTGAAGGAAAACAGAGTCTGGCCTCTTTAATCTGATTCTTAAAATAACAAACTTTTCGTCTTACAGTAAAGTATCTAATTTAATATGTTTTTAAGAACATAAACATCTTTTTCAGAACTATGTTATACATCTCTCTTGATGTTTTCCCCCATAGTTTTTCACAATAGTTAAATTTAGATGTAGGCCAAGCAGTTGACTTTGCTTGTGTGGTCCTTTGGGGGTTTCACTTTAACAACTGGGAGCCATCAATTGGGACTGTTGGAAAAAATTTAAGTGATGTTGCCTTTATTTACACCTGAATGACTGAGAATAGCTGGGCTGGGGAAAAAAAAAACATATTAAAAAAATAAAACATCAGATTTTTTTCTTTATTTGCTTACTTATTTGTATAAAAAATAGGGTTACATGTATGTTACACTGATGAATATATGAAATGCCCAGGCCCTTGTCTCCTAAATGCATAAACATACTTATTGTTTCATATTGACTGGCTTTTCTTCTCTGAAAATTCTGTTTGAAGCATAATTCCCAGGATAGGAACCGCTTTTCAGGGATTTTTAATGAATTCCTTTTTCATCTTATTCACTACTCGGCGATC